CAGCCACTTCTTCTATTTGACGGTGGTACATACCGTGCAGAGGTTTGTCCTTCCATGAGGGTTCCTGCTCTTCCTTCCCTTGTTCCTCTGGTTTCTGCTGCCTGAGGTATTCACTAAGCACGTTTTTATATTTGTGTGTGTATGTATATATCTATATCTATAGATAGGTAGATGGATAGATATGTATAGGCTCCAAACTCCTCCCCGGAGCATCAGTTGTCAAGTCATAGTCTATGAACAGTAAGTAAACAAGAAGCAGTGGGGCTGTAGTGAGAATGATGCTCTGTATACAAAGTGTTTGGAAGGTCATGACTTTTAAAGCCTCTCAAAACACTTGTTCAGAAACCACAGAGCAGAAGTGATTAAACAGTGTTTTAACAGCTCAAATACAAGCTGCAAATGTTGGCATAACTGGCTAACTACCAGGTTCTAGCCATTCCTGTTCCGGACAGAGAGTAAAGTGTTACTTTCATTTGGTTTTTCACATGTTATGACTGTCTCCTTGGTTAGTGCAGGAAGTAGTCCGTCAGCTGAATGATCTGCCCTGAGCCTCTACCCTGCATTAATCTTACGCTATGCTCCTTTTGCTCAGTTCATTAACCGAACAACAGTGAGATGTGAAAGAGCCTCCAGGCCCAGACAGCGCCGCATTAGGCAGTACAGCTTAGGGCGATAGTTGTGCGGCTGAGAACCTGTGTACTGTACACATTTAAATGGCAAATGTGTGGCTTTGCGTGTCTCAGTAACAAGAGAACTGTCCATCTCACTCAAACAGCACTGTGTGACTGTGTAGTGCTTTCATCAGCAGCCACAAAACCAAACCTGCTGCATTTCCACCTAATAACTATCTAAACGCCATCAACAAACCATTAGATGTCTGTTGGTAGCTTTTATGCATGCTGTATTTGGGGAGAAAGCCCAGCTTGCCTAGACACCATTTTAGAATTAGGTCCTATTTTTAAAACATTTCAGCCGTTTGAGCTGTTTGATTTGCATGACGTTTCCAAGGTAAGACCTTTTACAGCAGGACACGGAGACTCGTTCCTTCTGATACTCACCTGCTTCTGTTATTGCTGTGCACTTCAAATGCTGCAGCCATGATTTTGACTGAGACGCCACAGTCCACCTGCCTTATTTGATCTGACTGGCTGCCCTCTATAGGTAAAATAGATTTTTAAAGTTCTTCCAGTAGAAACACTAGCATAGCCTCTAGTTTAATCCTTAGAAAGATGACTGGTAATGGTAATCAGTCAGATTATTCTGACAGAAAACACTCCTGGATCTTTATTTTACACTGGATTAAGAGGGAGATTGACCTGGGTCATTCTCAAATTGTTGGACCTGTGCATGGTTTCATAGGTTGTTCAGTCTGTGTTGGAGCCCAGGGAGCCCTCATCTGCTCCTGTCATGTGTGAAGTCTGTCACTTCTTTTCATTGCTTGCAGGGTTTTAACTTCAGAAATGGAGGTCGATTATTCAGCAGTTGTTGAAGCTTGGCTTTCAGTTTGGTTTAGACTTTTAGTACTCTTAA